AGAGAGAGAGAGAGAGAGAGAGAGAGAAACTAACTACAATTAAGCACCCGTTTGGTACCCATTTTTGTAAGAATGAGAATGAAATGTTGTCGTTACGGGATCCACAAAAAGAGATAGAAAGTCAATTAATCAAATATGATGATTTGATATGATGAATAACAGTCATGTTTTTTTATTTTTGTGGTCAAAGAATGAAAATCAAATGGGCTTAAAGCTTAAGATTTAAATCAAGGCCTGATTCATCATCGGGTTGATTCAGACTACCCAATCTCAGCCGTTGACTATTGCCTTCATTCCTCTTGCTTGTTGATGAATTATGATGATCAAGATCAATATGGTTATGCCCTAAATCAAGAATTGAACCCCTTTTTTCAAACTTTTCAAGGCCAAATCCACCATTGATTTGATTATATGATAAACCCTGCAAATCAGGGTTCATGAAAAATGCCCTGGAAATTTTCTCGCGGCCAAAACGAATGTCATACGGATTATAAGACTGCTTATGGATCATGGATTCTGGTCGGACCCCAAGTGACGATCTGTTAAAACTACCATAAAAAGGGACTTGTGGGAAGATGGAGTAGGGATAGCATGAATAGGCCGGATGGTGGCCAAAAGGCGTTGCAGCCGCCGCTTCCGCCACCCCATGGCAGCGTTTGGCCAGTGCACGCTCCTGTTTATGGGCATTCTGGTGGCCACCCAGTGCCTGAGAAGTCGAAAACTCCCTCTTGCAAAAGCTGCAAGTGAATGTTTTCGTCTCAGTACGACGTTTTGAGCCATCGTCTGATGACTTGCTCGCCGGAGAAGAACCTGAGTTTAATGAGTTAAACAGGTTGAGTTCAAAATTGGAGGCTGCTGCTACATCGTTATTGTCATTATTGGTCAACTCATCATTGGCAGCAAGCTTGAGATCCAACTCAGGCTTTGAATCATATCCTTCTTCAACCTTTTCCTTCATTTTTGGGTTCTTCTTCTGATCATCATCTGAATACTTTATGACATGGGCTTGTTCAGATGCAGCAGAAATACTGGATGCTTCAGACTGGCACGGCTCTTGACCATGGATTTTCATTGCTTAACAAAAATATGTACTTTTTTTTTCGTTTGGCTTTTCAAAGTTTGATTGAGGAAGAATGAGGAGAAGAAGCTTGTTTAAGTAATGGAAAAAATTAATGATGAATCCCTTGAATATAGAAAGATATCCCGTTATGCCTTATTGCATGGTGTTATATATGCAAATTAAGAAGATAACAAAGTTATTAGTTTGCAAGGTTAACATGCAATAGCTTACCGAATATATACATTCATATATAAGATAAATGGATACAACTCGTCGATATTTTGGACTCGATGAAATTGGAGTAGGTTTAAAGTACAATATAAATGTCCTATAAATATATATTAATTATATTACAAGTTACAAGTGATGACAGCTACCTCGTATGCAGTTTAGGCTTTGAACTTTCTTGTATAATATGGAAATTAGTAATATTGTTAGGCTCCTCTTTATTAGGAATAATTATTTATTTACTTCTAATTATAATTGTATCTTTGTCTTAATTACTAGAACGGGTTAGAGAATGCAATATGGAAAAAATGTAAATTTAAAATTTTTTTGAGTAAAAGAATTAAATTTAGGGGAAATTGCAGCTATGGTACCAAATCTTTTATTTGTGTTATCAACGATACCAAACCTTTCAAAATTCACATCTGAAGTGACATTCGTTTGATCGTTAATTTACCCAAACAGTAAACTTTAAAATATTTTGACTAATTTTTAAAAGGGCAACATAGTAAATTTACATTTTCTTACAAAAAAAAAATTATAATAATTATATATATATATATATAAAAAAAAGGGAAACCCCAACCTCGCAACCGCTTCTCCTTCCCCAACCCCCATGCTCCAAAACCAAAATCACCCCACCAGCGGCAGTGTCATCACCGACCCTCAACGATGGCACCGGAACCATCACCCAAAAGGCATTCCATGGAACTATATTCAACTTGTATTACTATTTCTTGCTTCACTCACACTCAATTTCTCACCAGACACAACACTCTTTTTCAATTCCAAATGCACAACTCTGTCACTCATCTGAGTTAACTTGTTCTGCAACAGCTACATCTCAGAGTTAGACCAAGTCAGTTTCGATTCCAGAGACCCTTTCGATTGCATGGGTGAGTCCACTTGTTGATATGCTATGCCTTGGTTTCTTGTATTTTTTCTAATTTTTTATGTTGCCAACGAGAGGATGGAAGGTATGAGGTTTAGGGTTTTTTGGGATTTTTTTGTGACTGAGCTAAATGGGAAATGGACCCTTCAACCGGAGGAAACAAGGGTAAATGCAGGCGACAGCTAGAGAGATTAAATGAAAACGAACACTCAAGGTTTTTCTTGGAATTCAAATTTAGGGAGATCGATCTTAGGTTTGACTGGTGGTTGGCAATGGAGGATGATGGTGTTTTAGTAGGCCATCGACGAAAATAGTTGTTGTTGGGCACTTTGATTTGTCGCCAATGTGAATGGGAAGGTCAAAAGGTGGCAATAGCAACAGAAGATGAGGTGAAAATGGAAGTTGAAAAGCAATGGAAGAAGGCGTTGGTACCAACGGTGATGCCGGTGTTCGATGGCTGTGGATGATTTTCAGGGCAGTGGGTGGTTGGGGTTTTGGTTTTGGTTTTTTGATATAATTATTATAATTTAATTTTTAAGAAAATGTAAATTTGCTACCTTTTTTAAAAACTAGTAAATTTTTTTGAAAGTTACTATTTGGGTCAACTAACGGTCAAATGAATTATTTGAATTTTAGGTGTGAATTTTTGAAAAGTTTGATGCCGTGGATGGAGCAAATAGTATGCTTGGATCAAATCTGCCATTAGATAAAAGATTAATTGGTATTGTGATTGCAATTTTCTCTTAAATTTATTACTAATTTAAGTACACGATTGGGTAAAAAGGTACATTTTGATATTTGTAATCATAAAAGAATGGACATAAACGGAATTAAGAATTAAATTCTTAATAACTGTTGTTGCATATGTTCTTTGCTTCTTTGAAACACATAAATCAAACTCTTGGAATGGGAAGAATATAATTTTGAGTGTAAACTAGTGACGATGAATGATATGTGTTGTACATATCGATTGTTTAATTATCTCGACAAATTAATTTCAATGTATATAAATGGACATCAAACAAGGTTACTAAATTTCTTCTATTATCATCAATTTTGTTAGAGTCGTTCCTATCTTGGAACACGAGGAGAACCATATTCTTCGATGGTTTTCTCGATCTTCTTCCTATTTAGTCTCCTTCGCTTTGAAAGATATTTTTCTATAGAATAAATGAAGTCCGCGGAAAGTGCAAGCTTCCACATATCTATTGCTTCAATCATACCTTCTCATATTTGTCTAGTGAGCTCATACTTTTTTTTTTTTTTTTTACAAGGTGTCCTATTCTAGACTAATCCTTGGGTCTGTGATCCGGCCCCTCTTCACACAGTCCGGTTAATCGCAGGATGTGCCTCCAACTGGCCAGGGTCCGAGCGCTTCCCACCTGGTCTGACAAAGTGCCAAACAAGCCAATCCAAGTTGCACCTTGCCTTCCAAGAATAATCCTTGCCTTCCAAGTTCCACTTGCCTTCCAAGAATAAATCCTTGCCTTCCAAATGTTCCCTTGCCTTCCAAGAATAAATCCTTGCCTTCCAAGAGCCCCATGTTTCGAACTCACGACCTCTGCTCTGCCAGGTTTGACAGCGTCCGTCCTTTGCCAGTGGAGAAGTGCCCTGGGGGGCCTAGTGAGCTCATACTTACTAATAAGCCATAAAATTTATAAGTCAACAGTTTACTCAAACTCATCCGTCACCAATTTATCGTTTTAGTTATGAATGAACGGAACTTATGCAACCTTAGACCATTCATTATGCTAGTGAGCTCATACTTACTAACATAATGAATGGTCTAAGGTTGCATAAGTTCCGTTCATTCATAACTAAAACGATAAATTGGTGACGGATGAGTTTGAGTAAACTGTTGACTTATAAATTTTATGGCTTATTTGAAACAAAAAGGATTGGATTGAACACAGAACTCTAGCTTAATACAAGTTCTAAGGCTATAAACAAGTGGTTTACTCGAAGATTAAAATGAGTTTTACCTACTCGATATTTAACGGTTTGTTATCAATTTATCTTTTAGAAAGAACATTATACTAATTTAAGTATCAAAGTGAAATATTACCATCACACATTGATAAGTGCATTTTGTTCACTTATCCGAGTCATATTATTAAACTTTTCTGTCGTCAAATTATTAATTTTTACTTAATTTGGGTTAATTTTCTTTTATTTTTAGTTATGAACTCATGTGAAGCAATTGGAAAAAGACAAATTACAAATTGGCTATTGGATGAAAATCTGAAGTAAATATTCCACACTTTGAAATCTAAAGGGCTTGAATTAAACTAAAGGAGGACATGAGTAGCACAATTAATTGAATTCGAGGACTAAGGTACACTTAATGGAATGAAGTGAAGCCTTGGAAAATAAATTACATTCGTTGAATGTAGTGAAGTCTCATAAAATTTAATTTCAATTGGGTATCAGTATTAAAAACATAAAACAAAGAATTTAAACACTAAAAGTCTAAAAGTCAGATAATATCGAGGTCTAAGTTTAGCTCAACTGATAAGAGTGAAACTTTATGATCGTTTGATTACCCGCAAGTGCACGGGATCGTGAACAAATAATATAGTAGTGTGTAGAGTGTTAAACCTACGAGAACTATGTGTTTGATCGAGTTAAAGTTAACAATTTTCTTAATCAAATAGCAACATCGAGTTGTAACTAATACTATTAAATATATTAACTAACTTGAAAGCAATTTAAAAATTTATCAAATTTGTTAGATATATTGCTAGAATATAGAATCCCTCTTATTAATCCATTTTTACTTCAACAATTTAAAATAATAATTTGAAATCATGCTTGTTGGTCAATGTTCCTATTTTAATTGAAAACCTCTCTTGATAATTATCAATTCTATTCCACTCACACAACCTTCCTATCTCTCAATGAAAGATGGGAACATGATAAATGTTTTAAACAAGTTAGATTATCTTATAAAAGTCATATGAATCATAGAGGTATATTTTTATCATTTATCAAACCTCACAATGTTTATTAGTTTGTGCTAATGATCCTATTGTCTCTCTCGATAACAACAAAATTCACAAATAATTTAACTAGTGGCCAATTAATTGAAAAGCATGCAAAACGATGATAAACATCTAGAATTCAAAAAAATTTAACGTAAATCTAATTTCATAATGAGGGTACATCGCATCCTAACAATATGAAAAAATAGCCAAGCTTGATTTTGGAATTAAACAAATAAAAGTTGAAAAATATCACCTAAGAATAGACTAAACATGATTAACTCGTGCTCAATTTTTGATGAATTATCATACATAAATTTGGAATTAATTCGTTTGTCACTGCCTTGTCCGTCCTCTTCTACGTAATTACCCAATTCTTATGCCCAATTCCAAAGCAGCAGCCAATGTTATGCTTTTTGTCCTTGTCTTCCGCCTCTGCATGTATAAACATTTATCAACCTTTTTATATATATATATACAGGGGCGGAGCCACTATACGTCCAGTGCGGGGCATTATTGTATATCTCCTACTCTAGGCTTTCATCTTGACATCTCACATCTCTGACTCCGACTTTACATCCTCAACTCCGCCAAGGCACCAAGTGCCAACGCCAACTAGCCGAGTCGACAAAAGAAGAAGCCAGATTCCAGAAAGCAAAAGGCGAAGCCCCAAATTTTTTTCCCTTATTTTTTTTGGTTATTTCAATGTGTAAATTGTAATAATTTTTTTTTTAACATATTATATTAGCACTTTGTTCTTTAATTGCTCGAAGCGGCACAAACTTGCAATGGACCACCAGTTCATTGTTGCCTCTGGGCTCTGACTCTCTGAGAATCTGTGATTGCAAGTTCAAGTTGCCAAGTATTTGGAAATAGTATATATTGCATTGTGAGATTGTAAATTGATTTTGTGAAATTGTGAATTGCACTAGTTTTTTGAGTTGCTTCCAGTATTTGTGATTCATTTGACATCTCGAATTACTCCCACTCCTAGTAGTAATTGGGTGATCAGTGGATGAATGATAGTACAATTGTTTATGTGGAGAAAGATATATTTTTCAAGTTCAATAATGAAGTTATTATACAACGATATCAAAGTATGAAAACTCGCAAAGAACAAGTGTAATATATAAATTATGTCGTTTTTAGTATTGATGTACTGTTGTTTTATTTTTTTATCATCATTAAATACCAAGAGCAATAAATCTCACGAAGAGATTTCAATCAGCACCAAGATCCGCTACCAACAAGATCTAGGGTTTCATAAACTTTCAAAATCCTTTCAAATCCGGTTATGAAAATCAATTTTCCACAACCAGATCATAAGGAGATAGACTCGATTCACTAGGACAAAGCTCTGATACCACTGTAATAACAAGATCTAAAGAATACTAGAACACAGAACATATTTCGAATAAACCATTGACATCAAGATCTGAATATTTAGGGCTCATAATACATTGTACCCGTCTGTACAACACAAAAAATGACCACAAAACCCTAGCCTCAAAGATCAAAATAGAGGTAGCTATTTCTATGGTTCACAAAGGTCACCCAAAGGACAAAATCTACCTCTCAAACTATACATCAAACAATCACCAAGACTCGGTATGTACAAATCTCTCATAGAACCAGAAGTTTTAGAAATTACAGAGAAGTCACAGAGACGAAAGACGAGAGGAGACCAAAAGTCGAAGAGAGAGTGACTAGAAGCTTCTCACACGAGAAAGAATCAGATGAATTATAATTAGGGCACAACTTAAGGCCTATTTATATCACAAGTCATCACCATAGATCTCATCAGGGCAATCCAAGGAACCAGAGCAGCACACATATTTATCTCATTTGGGCTGGGTTTTGGGCTCAATTTCGGGTCACGTTATTGGGCAATGGTTGGTAGCATCTGAGTAAAGGGTCTGGCCTTTTTATTTCATCATAGCCCTATATTGAGCTGGACCAATAAATTGGCATCACAACCCAAAAGAGACTACTATATCTTTATGGTTATGACTTAGTTTTCAAATTCAGTTTGATTTCTACCATTCTATATTGAGTTTGAGGGATATAATTAAAACACAAACTCAAGATAGTTGCTTGATTATTTTTATTTTTTTTTTATTTTCCATAATAGTTCAATTAAGTGATCATTATAAACTCTTTCATTATATAATTATTTGTAACCATTATTAATATTAAAAAAGTAATTCATATTATGTAAATCATGTCATTGTTGCTATACATATTTAGCTCCAAAAATGGATCTTAAAAATTTGAATTATAAGTTAATAACCCTCACAAATATTTTCCACCTAACTCCACTGACAATTGCTTTTAAGTTGTTCCATTTGCAAAACTTTCCTAATATTTCCAATTTCCACTACAAGAAATTAGATGAATATTCTAACCGTCCACTATCTTTTGTCCTCTCAAATCACAATGGTTGCTGAATTTGAATGTTTTTTCTACACTTACACAATCCTTTATAGACCAAATTGCTTTCAGCAATGCTTTACTGTTTAATCAAAAGCAAAATAAGTGAAAGATGACAAAAACAAAAATGAGCACTTAATTAACAATAAATCAATAGAAATCTTTATGTGGATATGACAAAGGTCAAAAGGGTATCATCTTTCACGCTGATGCAAAGCCATTATCATTTGCATTCTCAGCTCCCATCCTTAGTTTTTCACTAGCAAAAACAAAGTCTAGATTGAAGTACAGTAACCAAGGAGCACAAGACCAAAACAGGTCCAATAATCCACAGCATAAGAGGGAGTGCTTCATAGAACAATAAATTACCGTCTTGAGAGCAAAATCCTTTCTCGAGAAGCCCCGACACATCTTGGATTGACGACAAAAGAGTTATCGATCCTTGAAGTGCTTCATTTCAAACAATTAAGACGTACTTATTTTTATGTGACAGTAGTTCAGCTATTGAACTCTCAAAAAAATCTCGTTTTACATGAATGAAACAAGCACATTGATGTGAAGTATCAATTTTTTAAGGATCTTAAGAAGGAAGCAGGGGCGGGGCCTCACTATGCTAGGCCCAACCCAATATTTTTTTTTTTTTGTCTTTTTTTTTTTAAAATTATATGCCTTGATTAGTGCAATGCCTCTTATCACACATCTATTCAAGTAAATCGACGTCCAACTTAAGACTTTCACTCAATTTTATCTTGTTAGTCTAAGACAATCGACACATAACCTTTTCACACAAGGAATCCACGTTCACATCCGTATCTTCATACAATAGCAAGATCACTCCAATTGTACTAAATTCAATATAAGAATAAATAATTAGTATGGTTTAGGTAGAGCATCTACGTCCAACTAAATCAATCTATCAAATTCATGAATCAACTCATTTCATCAAAATATCAAACTCAATTTTAGTGCATATATCATATCAAGTTTTGCAAGTTTAACCTTCAATCAATTTAGCATGCAACATATCCACAGTTTATAAATCAAAACCAAACCTAAAAATTTAATCATAATTGTTAGTCAAATTGTCTAACCCACACAAGCATACAAACAAAAACTCAACTTTTTTTTTTTTGAAACAATACTAAAAACAACCACACTAAAATACACAAGCATACGATCAAAACAAAAATTGAAAGTTTTTCCCACCCCCAAACTTAAAACTGACATTGTCCTCAATATCATAAGGAATAAGTAAGCACATAAGGAGCTGGGAAGAAAAGGAAAACGGTACTCCCCAAAGTTTCTGTTAAATGTGTAAGGCACTATGAGTGACTATTGGACGATCTCCTTCATCATGCATTTCCTTTGGTCTATGTTGATTTGAGTATTCTATGACGTCATGTTCCTGCACATAGCGATCAGATTAAGAATTAAAGATCAAATAACCTAGAACATATGTTAGTTTGCCCAAACAATCGAAATAACCAACAACAAATTTAAGGGTCTAAGGGGAAACATGATAAGAAGTCGATATTCTATAAATTGAAACATGCCTAAATCTAATGGAAACTAATAATGAAAATAAATCTATATACAATGTGGTGCAAAAAGCAAGATAAATAAAATAAGAGTTGGGTTGCCTCCCAATAATCGCTTAATTGATAGTCTTTAGCTAGGCTATATGAGTGAATTGATCATGGTGGTTTAAACAGGTGTCTTGAGCAATTTCCGGCCTTGCATCCTCATTTTTCCTTCCAAACCTTGAACCTTGTATTCCCATCTCGTGTAAGACTTCCTAAATTTTTAGGCTTTGTCTCATTCGATCCTTGTTGCACTGTCTCAACCATATACTTACACTCTTCCTTAGTCTTTTTGTTGATCTTTCCATATTTTAGATTCTTGGTAGTAGTGTAGAACTTGAACTTGAACTTCACTTGTTGGTCATCCACTCTCAATGTCAGTTCGCTACTTTCAAAGTCCATGATAACTTGACTTGTTGATAGAAAAGATTTGCCCAAGATAAGTAATGATGCATCCTATGAGTCCTCATTATCTAGGACAACGAAATCAACTGGGAATATAAATTTGACCACTTCAATGAACATGTTCTCAACCACTCCTCGTAGGTATTTGATTGATCTGTCTGCTGATGAGTGTAATTCACTCATTAAACTAACGCCTCTAAATCACGGGTTTTAGCTTGTTCTTGATCACTTTTGAACGTTTTGATGTGTGTGTTCATGTTGTTTTGTAGCTCAATCAACATTCGAGAAAACGCCACAATTAGGAGCTTGTGATGAATCTAAAATGATGATCATAAAATGGGGGCATGAATTAGAGATAAGAAAAGAGGATTGCAATGGGAAAGAAGCTTAGAAGATGACCATTCAAGTAAGGAGCAGTCTGTTAGGTGCCACGGTGCCCAACAAAAAGAGAATTTACAGCAGTAAGCTGGGCACCACAGTTCCCAGAGTAAAAAGAAACAGCAACGCCAGCATACAAATGCATCACGGCGCCACGATGTCGGACCTTGCAACACAGAAGAGTTCGAATTTTTGGATATTTCTCGGCCCAAGATGTTCCCTAACCATCCAAAACTCGAAGATAATATAAATACCAAAAAAAAACTAATGGGGGCCATTTTTTGGAGATTTTCTCTAGGTGAAAAAGGGTGCAATAGTGAAGATCCATTCAAGAGGCAAGGAAGAGAAATTGAATTGCAGCAAGATTGACAACCAATTGCGGAAGAACAAGCGGCTTAAATCAGTTTTTCTAAACCCTTATTTATTCTTTCCCATGTTCTTTATCTTGTATTTTGACATGTCAATCGATTCAAGCATGAACTAAATTCGTAGATCTAGGGTTAATGTAACATATTTGAGATGTCATTTGATTCTAATATAGTTATTTCTTTCAGTTTTCAGAATTTATTTGTTTTGTTTTGTGCTTAATGCTTTCAATTACCTGATCAACAATTGAATGAACCGATGCTTTAAATTTGATGCTCAAGATAGGAAAATTTAGACATGATCTAGAACAACATAATCTAGATTTTTAGGTTTCGAGAGAAAGTGGAAATCTTTGAGGGGTAAAACAAGATCGAAGAGCTTTTATAATCTTTGTATGTTTAATTCGAAATAGAGATATTGGAGTTAAAATATAAAGATAGGTTCTATTGGCGCTCGAAAGAGGGTATATAGTTAAATTAGGGTTCTTGCCTATAAACTGGGAAAATTCGATAGAAGGCTATAGAAGTTGAGAACATGTTGATAATATGGTGAAANGAACACGATTTCAATCACATTTTGCATAGCACGGTCTTGATCTGTAATTATCCCACATGGAGCTTGAGCATGCATACATTCAAGCCAAGTTTCGAATAGCCATACAAAGGTCCTCGTGTCTTCATTTGAGAGCAAGCCACATCCAAGCAGAGTTGATTGTCCATGATGGTTTACCCGAACAAAAGGAGAGAAAGGCATCTCATACTTGTTAGTCAAATACGTGGTGTCAAATGTAACTATATCACTGAATTCCTCACACGCTTGCCTACACCTGTTATCTGCCCAGAACACGTTCCACAGTCGAGCCTCATCATCCAAGTCTATGCTAAAGAAGAAACCAAGACTGGTTGCTTGTATCTTCGTAAAATAAGCTTGTATTGCAAGAGCATCTCCTTCACTTAGTCTTAATCGTCGGACTTTATCAATGAAATTTCTACAATCTTTCTCAACGCACATAATATTTTCATAACCACTAGCTTCAACTATGGCTGAGTTAAAACTCTTATGTAATGGTATACCAGATACGTCATTTATTTCAAGCTGTCTTTTCACACGTGCACTGATTTCTCAATTGTAGCGATATAGCTTTGATTTCGACGGGCTTGTTTTGTGATTATACTCCAGATGGACAGTGTTAATACGCCATGCGCCACTAAATTCTGAACATGCTGTCAATCTTGCTTTACAACCTGTTTGTATTGTTGGTTGAGGCTTTAGGATTGAATTTGAGCCACTAGTTCGATGGCCCTCCTGACTACATGTGAAAGTGACATAATGCACAACCCCATACTCACCCTTCCTTGAATTTCTTTTCCTCACCGAAAATCTGACTTGGTATGCGTAGTTCTTGTAAAATTCGAACACCTCATTCTCATCTTGGAACTTTATTCCAACAATAGGCACAATAATATCAGTTCCTTCTCGAAAACTCATGTCATTCGGATTATTGTCTTCGGATGAAGGGATTTCGAAAATACCTACATTTATGACAGGAGGAACAACAATCAAAATAAGAATTCTTGGAGGGGCACACTGTACATTTTGTAATGGATATGACTGTACTAAAGAATGAACAACAATCAAAATAAGCCTTTTTTCAATTATTGGACCAAAAAATGTATTTATATAGCCAAAGTTTAGGTTAAATTTTGTGCCCAAATTGGTTTTCCATAAGGGTTGAATCAAAATAGGAAACAAAATAATTTCTGTCTCATGTAACCATTTATCATACGGTACAAACACTTGATAATGCATAGTTTAAGTAAAATTATTTTGCTGATCAAAATTTACTCCTTGTTATTGCAAGCTACAGCATCCTACAGATCTATTCAAGTTGATTCCCATTCAATCTTTTTCGTACTACTTTGGTCCGTTCTTCTAGTTTTTATCCAACTTTGATCATTTTTCATCCTAAACTTCACATTTAGATCTTCATCATCCCAAAATCATTCACAATTGATCTGTTGCAAGTCCTGAAAGTTCGTAATTTAGTTCCCAAACTTTCAAAATATCTGAGTTTATCTTTCGAAACTCATGAATATCATCTGATTGCTCCATTAATATGTTCAATTGGTCAATTGCAATCTGGTTGATCTTCAAGTGATTTGAATAAACTCCAATTAAGCTCTAATCTCTCCTATTTCACTTCAATTTCATAAAGTGCATCTAAATTGAGGTTTACCTATAATTAATATATTGTACACTAGATTAACTATCACTTAATTCACCATAAATAATTAAATAAAAAAGTCATAAATAAGTGAATAATGTGTACTTATGATGCAAATAAATTGTTGGTGCCCAGTGCAATTGACAAAATTCATTCACACTGTACATTTTGTAATGGATATGGTTGTAGAAACTATTGGTCTAAAAATAAAAATTCTTGGATTGACAATACTGCCAGGGAGGAAAATCTGGGGTATATTCATCTGGACATATCAAGATTATGAAGAAGAAATGTTACCCATGTTGTTGCCAGAATCGATGTTGCGACCGTCGGAGTTGCCTCCTTCCATTTCATATTCATCTCTACAATAATTGGGTTTCGGGTTAACCACGAACGGTGCAGATAACGGGGTCGGGTTCACCATCACGCCGTCGTCGGCATCGATGTTATCGAAGAGGTCTGATGGATTTTCTCCTCGTTCCATTTCTTAGTCACCTTGGGGGGATTTGGAAGAGACATGTGAAATGGCGGGCAAATGGGTAGGGTTAAGGTTTAACATTTACAAGAAAACCCATTTTTCGGCTTCAGAGAGATTTTCATTTTGAAAGGTCAAAATATCACCACGTCAGATGCTGTAAACCATTGGGTACATGTAGCACTATAATGTGTGTGTAACCTAAACCATCAAGTTAAGGCCCAATTTAGTTTCAATTTATCCTCCAAGGCCCCACTTCATTATAATTAATGCAAGTTAGTCATTTTCTTCATTGTTTCCTCAATTTTGATCCTTCAACTTTTATTCAAGTGAGATTTGGTCCACAAATATCTATTTAATAGCTAATTGATCATTTCCTTTTCCAATTGCTTCAAAACGGGTCAAATATTGAAATAAACAAAAATTAATCCAAATTAAGTAAAATTCAATAATTTGACGACATAAAAATTTAATAATGTGGTCTAAATAAGTGCACAAAATGCACTTATCACTTTACTCAGTTACTGGTATGGATTCGAGCTTCATTTGAGAGGATATGAATGAATTTAGAAAACAAAAACAAAAAAGTTGGATAATGTTAAAAAATTTTGAAAAAATATTTTACGAAAGCATAAAATTTTCATTTTCCCTCTTAATGCACATGTAAGAAGATATGGATGAATCACTTTCATAGAGATAATCTTAAAATAGTCATCTTGATGTCTTCCTTTGTAGTTATGTTTTTGTTGAATTTGTTATTAATTCTTTTAAAGTCCAAATAATGAAATGACAAAGATAGCAATGAAAGTGGGGGGAATTGTCTCGATTGAAAACAGCTTAAAATAACATGGACAATAAAAGTAGAAAATAGTACCACAATAAAAATGAACACTATAACAACCAAAAAATATGAAAACCAGCCATTTATATATTATTTTTCTTTCTTTGCCTCTCACATTTTTTCTACCATGTTTCTTTGGTATATTAAATTAGGACTACGACTGCAAAGAAATATGAGAATTAAAGAAATTTTGCACAAATTATCATTCAAGTGTATAAAGAGGTAAAGTGTATATCTTTTTACTAAAATAAAGAAGTATGCTATTTGTACACTGAGATTGACACTTCGGTGTACATTATCCTCATAAGAGGGGGCCCATGCTCTTTTTTTTTTTNTTGCCTTAACCTGTAGATTTTCTGACTCTTGATATAGAACTACTTCATCTAACAGTTCCCTTAATCGAATAGCAATATCGAGTTGTAGCTAACACTATTAAATCTATTAACTAACTTGAAAGCAATCTGAAAATTTATCAAATTTGTGAGACGTATTGCTAAAATGTAAAATCCCCTTATTAATCCATTTTTACTTCAACAATTTAAAATAACAATTTGAAATCATGTTTTTTGATCAATGTTCTTACTTTAATTGAAAACATCTCTCGATAGTTATCAAATTTATTCCCCTCACACAACATTTCTATCTCTTGATGAAAGATGAGAATATAATAAATGTATTAAACGAATTAGAAAATCCTATAAAAACCATATGAAGTATAGTGGTATATCTCTATCCTCTATCGAAATTCATAATGTTTATTATTTTATGCTAATGATCATATTGTCTCTCTCGATAACAACAAAATTCACAAAAATTTAACTAGTGGCCAATTAATTGAAAATCATGCAAAACGATGATAAACATCCAAGAATTCAAACAAATTTAACGTCAATATAATTATTCGATCCAAAAATTTCATAACGAGGGCACATCATATTCTAGCAATATGAAAAATTGGTCACGCATGATGTCAAAATTAAACAAATAAAAGTTGAAAGATATCACATGAGAATTGACGAAACATGATTAACTCCTGCTCAATTTTTGATGAATTATCATGCATAAATTTGGAATTAATTCGTTTGACACTGACGTGTCCATCCTCTTCTGCGTAATTACCTAATTCTTGTGCCTAATTCCAAAGCAACAACCAGTGTTATGCTTTTTGTCTTTGTCTTGTGCCTCTGCGAGTGTGTGTGCATATATATATATA